TATTAATAGACATCAAATACCTTGCTAGTGAAAGCAAGGTGAAAATCTGTTCCACATCCTGTATAATTTTAAATGTTCCCAAGTGTGTATATTGTACATAGACAGTCACATTGTCTTCTGCTTTGTCACACATGAGAGATTCAGTAAATCACACTAAGAAGGAGATAGCTTATTATGAAGAAATACCTCTTAATCTAGGCATAAAATGTTTCTAAAATAGTATGTTCTGAAAAAAGACTTCTTTCAGTAAAAATGAAGTAAAGATAAGATAGTTAGGACCACTTAAGGAAAGAATCTGTGAAAAAAGAATTGACAACCAGTAATAGAGTTCTTCAGACACTGTGGAATGTTACAAGAGGAGTGCTGCCAGTTAGAAGAACAAGCAAAATTAAATCGGTGGCAAACTAGAATTTGAAACTTCAGAACTGAGTTAAAACACCACTTCTTCAATTTAGCAATTCAGTGATTACACAGGTTCTGTTTAAAGTCTAGGGCTATAGTAGTTTTATTGCTTTAGTTATCTTTGTTTCCATACAAATTAAAGGACCTGAGTTCTGTGCTTAGTAAGACAAAAGGCACTCTAATGACGCTACTGACATTTTATATTCATTCATCATCTGTTGTGAAAACTCAACATGTAATATTCATTAAGGGATCTATGGCTGGAGGAAGGGGTTTTGTTTGTGAGCACTAACAGAAGTGCAAATTATTTATAAAAATGGATACCCACATTGTTTCATTGGATTTAACAAATATGTTTTTCACTTACAAACAGAAAGAAATTCGTAGTTCGTTAGTACTTTCCATGCTGCAACAAATGCTGATGGAAGATAAGGCAGATCTGGTACGAGAAGCTGTGATCAAAAGCCTTGGCATCATTATGGGCTATATTGATGATCCAGACAAATACCAACAGGTATAATTTGGTTTGGGTTCTGTATGTATAAAATTTCTTCTATAGATATTTCACGAGTAGCAGGATGCGTATTTCCTGTATTTTTCTTAAATCTTTCCAGGCACTTTTAAAAATGATGAATATGTGAATGTTGATTTTACTGTTTCACCAAGACCAAACAGAAAAACTACAAGTAGCATTAGAACTTCAGGTGTAAGCCTTATACAGAAGCTTCTCTAATAGTTTATAATTTGCCTTTAAGAATATACCATTTCACTGCCCATCTGATACTATTAGCCAGTTTGATATCATTACTTGCTAACAAATTCATTTGCTGCAACAAAACCTACCTGTAGTTTGACTTTATGCTGCCTGATAATGTTTCAGAGAAGTGAAAATAAAATACTTCTGTCTTTTGAGCTTTTGAAGGCAGAGTGTTAAAATGTGTACATAAATTTTAGGGAAATAATTACATTCTTCATTGTCTTTTGCCAGGGCTTTGAATTGCTGCTTTCAGCTCTAGGAGACCCTTCAGAACGTGTGGTTAGTGCGACACATCAGGTATTTTTACCTGCTTATGCTGCCTGGACAACAGAACTGGGAAATCTGCAGTTCCATCTTATACCTACACTGCTTAAAAAAATTGAAAAATTGCTCAGGGTAAGTGTTCAACTGTTTCTGCATTGGAGAATTTTCTATGTATTCTTATTAAATATGCAAACTTTTTTTTAAAAAAAAGTACAAAAATGCAAATAGTTGGTGCTTAATGTTCTATGAGTGAAAAAGTTTCTAGAGATTCTTGTAACTATATAACTTTTACTTGTCCATTGGAAGAAGGGGAAAAAA